TATAATAAGTGGAGAGTAAATGACTACATCCAGAGGTTGTGTGGCCCATTCCATCCGAACCCGCACCAGCGCGTTCCCCTCCCCTCATTTACTGACATCTGGGAGTCGGGAGCGACGCTCCAGGTTGTGGCTTTCCCTCTGTGTCGCATTCAGAAATTCCCTGTCCCATCTCCCTGCTCAGATGCTTGTGCTTCCTCCATTTGTAACACATTTTAATAACCAAATCTTCCCAGAGCTAATTGTAGGCTGCTGGTACCCTGCTGGGGGGTACAGAGCTGGGCAAGCCTCGCTGCAGGGCAGGCTGGGCTTTGCCACCCCAACATCATCCCAAACCCAAGTCACTCTTTATTTTGCACTTTGTATTGATCTCTGCTGCAGTTTGGATTCAACCCCTCTGCCTCTTTATTCCTTTTCTGGACACAGTAGTGGGGAAATACCTCATTAGCTCAGTCTCTATGGAGAAAAAGGTGTTTATTTTCTCTCTTTGCATTGCTCAGTGGAGTTAACGTGGTTACCCCCTCCCAGCTAAGGCAGCTCCCCATGTTCTTCAATACAGGAGCTGCAGGAGAGGGGGGAGAAACTGTGGAAAAGAAGGAATTAATGGTAAAAGCATGAGGGCTGGCACAAGGAGTCAGCACCAGGTTGGGACCTTCAAAGTGCTTTTGTCAGGCTTTGAAAACTTGGCTTGATTATTACTACTACTACATTATTAGTATTAGTATTAGTATTAGCATTATTAAACACACTCTTTGACAGGAGTTGCCCTTTGGAAATAAAAATCCCAAGCTCTCCTCTCAACCCGTGTCCCCTGGCGAGGCTTCATAGGTGCGTTATCCTTTCTTCCAGCCTCTTGGAAGAGCGCAGTGAAAGCTTTTGTGTCTGGAACATGCTTTGTTTAAACCTGTTGGTATTTTCAGTCTGAATCCTGCATTGTTTAGGGCTTTTCACCTGGGATATTGCTGCCTCCAACCAGGATATCCCATCCCAGAGCCCTTCCCATCCTTTGCCCAGGCACATCAGCTTGTTCCCCAGCCTGAACATGGCAGTGAAGCGCCGGGAGCAGACGCTGCAGGACTACAAGCGCCTCCAGTCCAAGGTGGAGAAGTATGAGGAGAAGGAGAGGACCGGCCCCGTCCTTGCCAAGCTGCACCAGGTACCGGGATGCTCCCGGAGCCAGAACACAGGCAGGGACACCGGGAAAGCTCAGGAAGAGCTTTTGGCTCTTGACATCCGTGCCATGCCCTCAGGAAGCAAAACGTTTTGGAAGGATGTCTTTTGTTAATGTAAAAATCCCTCTAATAGGGTGCTTGATAAGAGAAATGTGGATTCAAGCACTTAAGGAAGGGAGAGAGCCAGTGTTCCAAACTAAAATGGAATAAGAGTCGTGGGAGGTGGGATGCTTGAAGGAGGTCAGTGCACGGGGGGGTTTCCCCCTGGCCTCCGCTTCTGAGTGAGCAGCTGGGTGGGAAAAGGGGGAAGATCAGAGAGTTTCCAGCTTTCTGCTTGCCACCTGCTCCAGGAAATTCGCCTTGGAAAATCGCAGGGATTGGTTAAGGGGAAGCTCGGACACGTTCTTTTCTCCCTCCCAGATTTTAGTGAACTCGTGATTTGTTTTTCCTTTTCATTAAAGCTTCACCCCATTAAATCTTTCTCCCCAAATCTGTCGCTCCCGCAGAACATTCCCTGAGCCTCAAAGGAGCAGTTGACTCCTCGGCAGCAAAGAACGTGTCTTTTCTGATGAATTTCCCCACAAGAATGGAGTTTTGTGTGAAAGAATAGCCCTTAACAAAAGAAACCTCCGATTTAGTAGTAAGCAGCTTACTCCCCTTAGCCTGGCTGACTAAAGCTGGGGCTGGAAACCTGGGGATGCTTTTGTCCTGGTGATTAAGCAGCTTTGAGTTATTTCATTTAGTTTTTCCCTTAATGAACTTCTGGGAGATTTAATTCCTCCCCCCCCCCCAAAAAAAAGAGATCTTGACTAACCACTGCATGAGCTTAAATGCCTGACCCTGGGGGTATCCGAGTGGTCCCCAGATTGGATGGGACATGGCATCATCTCATCCAGGTATTTTATTGAGCTGTGAATCTGTATCTTCCCTTCGCTCCCAATCTTCTCCACCCCAAAAGGTCCTTGTTTCATGGCAGATGATGCATTTCCCTCAGACCTGCTCATGCCTGATGTGGTTGAAGGTGTTGCCAAACCTGGGGCTCCATCCCTGCCGCCTCCATTGGGCTGTCCCATGGAGCAGGCCTGGCGCCGCGGCTGCGCTCGGCTCCATGGCTGTCTCCCGCATCCCCCTCCCATTGGAATGGCGCCGGGATTAAGTGGCAGACTTGAAACCGGTCTAATATTTCACAGCCCACCCCCTCCTGCCCTTTTCCACACCAGCTCACAGACATTTCCCTTTCTCCCCACGCTTCTGTTTAAAGAAGCCAGTTGGACGCGCTGAGCTGAAGGTCACGGGCAGGGAAAATGACGGAGGGGGCAGGATCCTCTGGTGATGCTCTTGGGAATCACAGGATGAGGGGACATGGACGTGGCTCGGGGGGGTCTGGAGGGCGACGGTGTTCTTCAGCCTGACGGGGTTTTAGGGCTGGGTTTTGTCCATGTTCTGAAGCAGAGAGCACCGGCTGGCTCCCAACCCCTGCAGCAGCCTCTTTAGATGTCCCGTGGCTTTCTGGAGCTAGAGCTTGGTCCCACCAGCTCCATAAACTGGCCATTTGAGTCCCATGAGTCTCTGTTGCTGGTCATTAAGTCCCACCAGGCTCCATTAGCTGGTCATTAAGTCCCACCAGGCTCCATTAGCTGGTCATTAAGTCCCACCAGTATCTGTTAGCTGGTCATTTGGTCCCACCAAGCTCTGTTGGATGGTTGCGTGGATCCCACCAGTCTCTTGCTGGCTGTTTGGTCCCACCAGTCTCCATTAGCTGGTTGCTGGTTGTCCTCGGGTGAGAGCAGAGCAGCCTGCTGACAGGGGGTCGCCTCTCCGCAGGTCTTCCCAAAGGAAAGCCATTTTCCCAGAGGCCTGATACCCCATCCCCTCTCCTTTCCCAGGCCCGTGAGGAGCTGAGGCCGGTGAAGGAGGACTTTGAAGCCAAGAACAAGCAGCTCCTGGAGGAAATGCCCAAGTTCTACAGCAGCCGCATCGACTACTTCAAACCCAGCTTCGAGTCGCTGGTCCGGGCGCAGGTGAGACACTGTCCCTGCTCTGGGTGTCCCTTTGGTGGCATCCATCCTCCCTGTGGTACCTGCTGCCATTACAACAGCTGGAGGTGAGTTTGGGCTGGTTATATGGATCTGCTCTCACCAGGGACACTCCTGGTACACATACCTATCCTGTCCCATGGGATTGTGTTCCTAAATCAGTTCAAGCCCTGGTTGTACATTATCTTCTGGCATTTGATGGCTTTATTCATCTGGGTATGTTGTCTCCTTGAACTCCTGAGCTCAGGGTTGGAACTTGTTTGAGATTTTGAGTTGCTGAGAGCTCACCTTCAGGGTCTCTTTTGTCCCTGCCCATGGTTGGAACTGGATGATCTTAAGGTCTTTTGCAGCCCAAACTATTCTGATTCTGATTCCCAGAACTGGTGTGTGCTGGCAAATAGAGGCTGCTGTGTAAGCTCCGTGCCATGGCTTTGCAGGGGGTGGCCTAAATAAACCACAGCTGGCTTTAATTTCCACCCTCCAGCTTCCTCCTGTGGCTTGTTGCTGCTCCTCCATCTTCCTTCTCTTCTCACCCTTTTCCTTAGGCTGGAGAAGAACATGGTTGGGATTCAATCTAGCTTTGAAATCTGACATCATGGAATCATACTTACCATGGGATGGTTTGTGTTGAAGGGACCTTAAAGCTCCTCCAGCTCCAACCCCCTGCCCTGGGCAGGGACACCTTCCACTAGAGCAGGTTGCTGCAAGCTCATGGTTGCTTTGCAGATGAGGGCCCCACGGCCGGGGGTGGGCCACCCACAGCTTCTCTGGGCACCCTGTGCCAGCGCCTCAGCACCCTGCACGCAGGACACTGGGGTGTCTCCCGGAGCAGAGGGTGCATCCTGCCGGACCAGGGGTGCTCAGCTCCGGGGGGTGGGTGACAGCACACGCCGCTCATCACGCCCCGTTTC